AGCCTAAACACATCCGCCTGACAGTTCACCATCCTCTGTGTCAAAGCACAAACAAATGAGACTGGTTGCTATAATAAAAGCAAAGACAGCCGCCTGTTGTTGTTATGTAGGGTAAAGGTGACAGCACTACACACCGACGGCACATCGGCTCTTGTTTACGTCTCGGAAGGATTTAATGTCCCTTTCTCTGGCTGTCATCCGGTTAAACATGCACGAGCTAAACTCCCATCATGCACGGGTATATTAAAGAGGTTCACATGGACGTGTCTTACCCGCTCTGTCCGGGTTGTGTGTGAGTTTGGTGCCTGATGAGCCTCTCATCATGGGAGTCTCTCTGATGGAGCAGCGCTGCCTGTGAACGTGCGTCCAACTGCTGAGCAACACACTGATGCTGCTCTCACACACACGCACCCTATATTAGTGAGTGTGAGTGTGTGTGGGACATAGACTGGGAGGAAGCTTACTCCAAAACTGGATGGAGTGAGGTAGCAGACTGTACCTGCCCCTGGCCTGCACGCGCGCGCGCACACACGCGCGCGCACACACGCACGCGCGCGCGCGCGCACGCGCACGCACGCGCGCGCACAGCTGAAAAAAAGTCAGAAGTCATGACAGGGCTTATGTTGCATCATGATGACTCGTATGTGCTACATTGCAGGTAACATAAAAGGACATACTGTGTGTACAGCAGAGGTGCAAGAAGTACAGATCCTTAACTTAAGTAAAAGTACAAATACTATGGTCTTAAAATCCTGAATTCAAATGTTTGCTTCAGATAAATACAAAAGTGTTAGCATCAAAATGTACTTCAAGTAGTACCAAGCATGCAAATGGCTCTTTCATAGAATTGTATTATTATAGAATATTATAATAGATTATCCAACGTTTGTTAAATCAGAGCCAATTTTAGAGACTTTGTACAACTACTGGGTTTATTAGTAGAACAGTACATCATATCATTATATATATATATCATGCGTTTTTATATATAACTGTAACGATCAGTGTTACATAATGGTATAGTGGAGTAAAAAGTACAATATGTGACTGAAGTAAAGTGAAGTACAAGTATAAAATAGCACAGTACTTGAGTAAATGTACTTAGTTACTTTCCACCACTTAGGACACCCTTTAATTAATTGAATACATAGAATAGCACACACTGTTAAGGTTACCTCATGAGTCATATGCACTGTTGTACTGTTGCATTGCAAAGCTACAGGAACCAAACTGGAAGAGTTTGGAAGTTTTCCAGCAGCAACTTGCAGAACTTGTTTTGCTGCTGTTTACTATCCTTCCTTTGACATGTTACCATGGGTTACACATAGCATCACTATTAAACAGGCTTTACGACTTAAATAAGCAGAAGTAAGAGACTCTTTGATTTCAAAGCCAATCTCTACGCATTGATTCAATATAATTAGATTGTGGATCTCTTCATTATTTTCATGCCTCAACTATTACTGGTGCTGTTCGTCAGAAGTTGTTTTTACATCCATTGGGGTGTGGGGCAATTACAGGCATACATAAACATTCAGAACATATCTGTGATTACTGGTGATTCTTCCGACAAGGGACAAAACGCTTCTTCTTTTTTTAATACAACATTCATTTGAGATTTATATATTTATAGACAAATGTATAAGGCAACAAACCATGTAAGGAAAGAGGGTAATTTTGTTAATTAAGTGGCACTTAAGCAGAAAAAAGCATGCTGTTTTAATTAAATAAATTAAGTGTCCTCAAGTGTCCTGCCCAGGGACACAACGACATGCTGACTGCAGTGGGACTCAAACTTGCTATCCCCTGATTCAAAGTTCAGCGCACTATTCCACTGAGTTATACATCTATATTTATCGACAATGTGTTATTGTCATTATCCAGCCTTCTTTCCCGGGTGGAACAAAGATTTGGTGGCCAGGGATAGCACAGTCTTGGCTTGAGACTATTTCAGTGGTTCTAATGATACCATTATCAGCAGCACGTTGAAGTGATGGCACTCCTTTTGGACCCCAGGAGTGGAGTGCACCAGCTGGGCGTAAGCTGGGCGTAACTCTACGTCCGACGTAGAACCGAAGGTTAAGACCAAACTAAAGTTATGACTAGTGCACCACTTAGACTTAAGCCCTGTATGCGTTGCGCCCAGGTGTAACTTTTACGCCTAGTATGGAGCAGGCGTAAATCGGAAAGACAGACTAGTATCCATAGTAACGTAAAACAGGCAAGAAGGATATTAACGATGGCAGGGCGTCTTGTTTACATGTTTAACAATGAAAGGGCATTAAGAAGAGACTCAATTTCTCCTTCTCCAGCTCAATTTGTTCGTGTTCCGCTCTCAATTTGACGGTCTCCACCTCCACACGAACAATTTATTTCTCCGTTAGTTCCCGCTGTAGCTCTGACAAATCCCTCTTTCTCTTTCGGGGTGTGGCCATTTGGGATTCCCCTTGAGTCATCGCTGACGCTGTGGCTGTGGGAATTCCCTCTTCTCTGCGGTCCTCTGAGTCTGTAAAATGGTAAAATGGCGTTGCTTGGCAACAATTACTGTTTCGCGTGTATTCACGTGGACGCGCATCTTAAGACCAGGCGCAGCTACGCCCGAGACTAGTCAGGCTTGGTGCACTCGGTGTAAATTCGAATCACTACGTCGGACGTCGCTAAGCCCGACGTTTTTTACGCCAGCTGGTGCACTCCACTCCAGGCCTGTAGCTGCATATCTGTGTAAGACAAACAATCACAAAAGATAGAGAGGAGGAAGACAATAGGAGGTTATTGAGGTCAGAAAACAAAAATAAAATGAACCATGGAGCTCGGACAGGTGACAACGTGGCCTGAGAATGGCTTTAATGATTAAAGGTCAGATGGCTCTCCACTGACAAACACATTCCTCCTTAAAGAGCAGAGAGATCAACCGCGGTTGACAAATCACAACAGAGCAGACTGGGCTCTGGTTTCAGACAGAGGGTGAAAAGAGGAGCTGCAGCACAGGCAGTATGAGAAAAATAAAGAGCTTTTTGAACATTACAACATGGAGACATGTCACAGTATAGGCACAACATACACATGTGAACTCTGAAAATGTGCATAATAGGGCCCCTTTAAAACATCACCATTTATCTCTTCTGAATAATGTGGAAAAATCTAACCCAATACTGAACTTTACTTCTGACCTTTGACCTAATAATATGTATCTCTGCATGGAGTCTGTAAATCCCTGGAGGAGGATCAGTGATTGTTGTGAGGAAAAACACAAGTAGGAAGCAGACACTGACACTGTTTTGTCCACATCAAACAAGTTTTACAGATGCTGTAATCATGACTGTGCTTGTCTTGACAAGAGGCCTGCCTACAAAGGAAAAGTACCACTGCCTCCAAATGAGGAAGTCATTTGCAACACCCTGTAAAATTCCACCCTCAAAATACACCCTGTATAGGCTTGGATTTTCGTAATTTTAGGGGCAAGGCCATTTGGCCTTTGGTGTCACACATTTTTTCAGCGTGCAAAGGCCACATGCCAGGGCACAAAGGCCATTGAGGAAAAAATTAGGATTTGGAGCTTACAAATAAATAACTTCACTTTCTAATGACAAAAAACAAATCACTTTTTTAAGATCAATAATCGTATCATCATATAGGCCTATGCCTCCTTAGTATTACCGTATATAAAATGAAATACTTTACTTTGAATAATTAGTGTTTGGTATGTTTTCCATCTACTACTTCTCCCATTCACAAATCCGAAATGAAATCTAAAAATCAAAAATTCTATTAATATGTAACACATATATTCCATTTCAGAGCAGAAGAAACAGCCTTCAAGGGTCAAACTCTGCACATACATCATTCAGCAGTGCACAGTGAAGCTCCAACATCCAACTGTATGAACAAGCAATACTTTGAAATGCAAAAGTGTGTGTGTGTGTGTGTGTGTGTGTGTGTGTGTGTGTGTGTGCGTGTGTCTCTTTAATCAACTCCTCACAGCTCCTCATATCTGTTCAGAAACTGGACAAAAGTTAAACAAGTACAAACCACAGACTGTCTCTGTCATGACGAATACAGTCGCTGCTTTAATTATGTCTTTAGGACGTTGTTGTGAGTGTGGACGGAGCAGCTACAACGTTAGTTTAGCCTGATCGATCCAATCTCCATTCACAAAACGCGCATTTTAAAAGGTTTTGCATGCCGTCTTGTCTGCACACTTGTCAAAGCATTAAAGCATGGTTTTTACTAACCGTTATCAGTATTTAGTTACTTCGGCATCATTTTGAAACGTGTATTACAATTAAATCACGGTAACATAGGTTAATTTGGTCGTAGTTGGCACAGTATTTACATGGATATAAGCCCCGCCCCATCTCCAGCGCGTCCTGTTTGAATGACAGGAGTAAACACAGCTGACAGCCGCGGTGAAACTCCGGCGGTTATAGCGATGAGAATATTCGAATCGCGTCCGTTGTGAACGCAGCATAATGCAGTTCAGAAACCACTGTTCTGACGCTTTTAAAGCAACTTTTAACAGTGTGAGGGGCCCAAAGGCCATGGTGGCCGTACAATTATTTGTGGGGCATAACGGCCAGACCGAGGGGCTACGACGGCCATGGCCGTCATGGCCGCCGTGAAAATCCCACCCTGCCTGTATAATTATCTTATTCATCAACTGTTATACTTCAAGTGCATGGAGCACAACACAGCTGAGAGGACTGGCTCTAGTTGGACGTCATGCAATCATGGCTCCCATATTTACAGCCAGGAAAGCCTGGTTGTGTTTATGATAAGCTTGCCCTCACCCATCACCTAAATACTGCAGGGGTAAGCGTGTGATCAAAGTGGGGTAAAGGTACTCGCCATATCATCTAAACATAATAATGTTGACCTTTTCCAGTCAGATGGCCGCGTCCCAAACAACTACTTCACTGCTGCTATTATTAGCAGCCTCACAAAGCCTGAAAGGACGATTCCAAAAACAAAGCTCCAAGGTCCTGAGAAAAATAACACAAAGCTTTACTTTATAAAGTTTTATTTACAACAGTGTGGACAAATCATATCTCTACAGGGGGGGGTTCAATGTGAAGTGAAACTGTAATACATGGACGCATTTACTCATCCCTCATAAGACCTTTCTCAAGAGAAAATGACACAACTCCTACATGTTACAATCCATTACCCCACTGCTGCTTGCATTAGGCTCTGTGGCCGCATGCGGACAGGAAGCAGACAGGTTGTTTACTTATTGCTCCATTAGTGGGGACACAATGGTGATCCACAGCAGTGACGCTGAGTCGGACCAGGGTAAAGCAAGTTTAGTTTTTAGTATCCTGGCTCCAAATTGGTTTAAAGACTACTGAAAACGGACATAGGTCAACTGCACCTTGATAAATACAATCTTTGTAAAGTGTTTGTAGAATTTTAAATGGTTTAGCCTATTTGAAGTTAATGTACTCACAGGATTCTTGCTGTTCTGAATTTGTATCCTTATGATTAATTGCACTTTTTGTAAGTGGCTTTGGATAAAAGCGTCATAATAAATGTCATGTAATGTGATGAGTAAAATGAACCGCTTGCATCCAAAAATACTCTCTTAAGTTTAAATGAATGGAGACGTTGCTTTTTTTCGTCAGCAGAAGAGAAACTGGCCACAGTGCATGTAAAGTGAGTTCTGGTTTCAGTCTGTCCACACTCGCTTTGTCTGTCTGTGTTTGGTTTGTACACTAGTGCATGATTACAAAGGAGACCTCAAATAGGCAACAAAGCATTCAAAGACACAAAACACGGTCACTACAAATACTCATGTCTGCACACAGACTTACAAACAGTCTAAAAACCACGTACATAAAAATGAAACAGAAAGAACCACAGTGAGCAGAGCTGTTGATTTCTTCCACTGACAATAGAAACACGTCTTATAATCACAAACTGATATGTCTTATTAATGTCCAGCTCTGACTTGTTCCTATGTTTCCCCTTATTTTAGAGAACCTTTTCTCATCATCCAGTCTCTCAAGAGTCCCTGACTTCAAATGATTTTCTCCTGCAAAAATCCACCTCTCCTCTTCCTCTGAGCTGCTTCTCGTCTTCACTTCCTGTCTCGCCCGGACAGTCCTCAGAGTCACTGACTCTGGCACACCGTGGACCCGCCTTTGGCTCCAGCGGCGGCCTTCTTGCGTCTCTTGTTGAGCAGCGGGTTGCTGGAGGTGTCCAGGTCTTTGATCTTCACCTGGTCGTAGTCCACGCGCATGGTGGCTAAAGCGCTGGTCATCTCTTCCTGTGAGGGGCAGAGCAGAGGGGTGAGAGTTCAGTGACAACTACAACAGTTCAGTGAAAACTACAACAGTTCAGTGACAACTACAACAGTTCAGTGAAAACTACAACAGTTCAGTGAAAACTACAACAGTTCAGTGAAAACTACAACAGTTCAGTTCCTGCAGCAGGCACACTGTACAACCACCATGGCCCCTGGTAGACCCCTACACCAACATTGACTGTAATATCATTGATATGCAGTACCTAATGTGCAATATATACACATTATGTACAATTTACGCTTATTTAAAAAAATGTATATACAATGTGTCAATGTTTCCGGCTCTTTCAACACTTTTTTTATATGTTCACTTACTTTTTCAAATAATGCTACTTTATTTTCTACCATGGTGTACTTATTTGTTTATACTCTTAATCATTGTATATAACTTTTTTTTAATATGTAAGTATTTGATCTGCTGCTGTAGCGCAGTACATTTCCCTGCTGTGGGACAAGTTATTCTGATACTGACAACAATACATGTCTGACACGCTTCTCGGTTAGGACCCACCCAGAGCTCTGAGATCATCGAGACAGATTTACTCATCGTTCCCTGGATCAGATCCAAACACGTAGAAGCAGCAATTAGCTCTCTGCTCCGTAGATCTCTAATAAACTTCCAGAACATCTGAGGTGTGCCCCAACCCTGAGTTCCTTTTAAATTGAGCCTAAAAACCTTTCTATTAACCGATGCTTTTAACAACATTTGGTATTATACTTCGGCACCGCTTTTATTTTTTAACTATCTTAATTGTTTTTTAAGAATTGCCTTCTTTACAGTTGTTTTGTTTTAGTTTCTCTTGTGCTTTCATGCTTATGTAAAGTACTTTGATTAATAAATGTTTTATATTAATAAACAGAATTAATTATATATATCTTTTATTTAACCAGGTAAAAAGTCTCATTGAGATTATATTCTCTATTTAATTAAATTCTCAATTAAGGGGAAACTATACACAACATAATTTTATATTGTAGGTAACCGAGTCCTATTCTTAACCTTTTTTTTGTGATTGACATTGTGTTTGGTTTCAAGGCTTTCATTGTCATGTGTATGTAAAAAATGTATGTAAAATGTATGTAAAAAATGTATGTAAAAATGTGTATAAATAATTATTAGTTTATAAATTACGATTTACAATAGGTTGTGAATTTGATCTTTTTTTGAGATTGTTTCCTTTTAATATTTTTGAGTAACGTTTCTAGTGGGAACACTTTCCTGTTGCACATCGTTTTGTACTTCCTGTATGAAATTTCCGCTTTCCCCGGCCGTTTCTCAATCTCGAGGATACTGGCTTCCAAGCCAATATTTCAAGGATGCTATGTCATCGAGTGCCACCGAAGTACTGTTCCAATCTCCAGCATACTTGGAATTCCACCGAGGCCGCGTCCTTGGTTTGGGGGAAATTTCGAGGCTGCACATGGGTAGACTTCGCGTCCTTAAAATCCCCACAATGCTTTGCGCACGGACCAATTTCAAAAACGCAGCACACATTTAAATGTAAGTATGTAGTGGCGTAGAACATGTGTTGGTAAATATGTTACTTTGTTATATTTGTTATCACCAAAAATGTGTTCCGTGAAAGTAAAGCAAGTTCATAATTAGATAGACATCGTGAGGTATTTATTTTCGGTACAGTTTATGTTGAAACCGTTAGAGAGAGTGGCACACTTGTTAGCCTGTTCCATTCTTCTTCGTTTTCCGAAGCCGTGGCTTGGAAGCACACTTGCTTCGTTTCTGAAGGAAGTGACTTGGAAGTACGCGATTACCAAGCCAGCATCATCGCGATTGAGAAACACCCCGTGGCTTGGAAGTGTACTTGCTTCGTTTATGAAGGAAGTGGCTTGGAAGTACGCGACTACCAAGCCAGCATCCTCACGATTGAGAAACGGCCACTGAAGTGAGCACTGCTGAGGATGTGCAACGCGGATGTAAAGGACATTGTGTGTTTGTTCTCAGAATAAATGCCAGAAAACACACTCAGATGCTTCGCTGTCGTTTTCTGATCGATAACGAGTCGCTTACGGTTGTGACCCGTTACATGTACATAGCTACAGTGTATTTATGACTTAGATCAACAAGCTCCTCCAACAGTGCAACACAATATGTTTCAACGGAGGCATGTGGCGCAGTGGATAGAGTCTTGGTGTTGGGATCGGGGGTCACAGGTTCAAACCCCACTGCAGTCAGCATGTCGTTGTGTCCCTGAGACACTTAATCCCAAATTGCTCCTGTGGGGATTGTCCACAGTATTGAGTATGTAAATCGCTTTGGATAAAAGCGTCTAACAAGTAACATGTGATAACTAGTGCAAATAGCAGTCGTGCAACATTTCTTGAAATATTTGCTTTTCTGAGACTTTACTACTTCTCTCAGTTTTAGTTTGTAAATATGTACCTGGTGCCAGCAGCCAGTTAGCTTAGCATTAACAATGGAGTCAACAACTAGCCTCTCAAAAGTAATAAAACCTGCCTGCCATTATTTTTTAAATCTCACTAATTACCTTATATCCAGGGCTGCACATAACTGGTGCGCAGGTGCGCATGCGCACCTCCGCCAAAAAAAGAGCACCGGGTCATTTGCAACAAAGCGCATTTGCGTACCAACATTGAGAGGGAGAGAGAGAAGAGAAAAGAGAAAATAGAGGAGAGAGGAGAGATGAGAGAGAGAGAAGAGAGAGAGAAAGATATTTGCGAGTTGCATATGAACCATGATACGAACTCAGGGCCGGCCCGTAGCGCTGGCTAGATGTTCGCCTAGGGCGCCAGATCTGGGGAGGTGCTGCGCTGGCAGTTCTGGGAGGGAACATTTTTTTTTGACCGTTGGGGCTCATCCTAATTTTCGGCCTTGATGTAACAATATTCACAATGAAGTAAATGTAACACCCTTTTCACCCCGGTTCCACCTTTCATTTGCCCTGTACGATGGGCGCTGTAAGTGATGAAAATGGGGGATGTTGGCTTATCTGGCGCCCGCAGCTCACAGACAAAATGCGAGTGAGCGAGGGAGGGTGGTACCAGCGCTGTTGTTATTATAATCTGGTGCCGTGCTAGCTGCTCTAACGGAGATAAGAAGAAGATGTTTCTACAATAATGTGGAGGGAGAGTCCTCTCCAGTCAGACTGAGAGGCTGATAAGTTAACTACAGCTCAGTGAGGTAAGGACTCTTAGTCTAAGTTCAAACGGTTTGGTCACAATTTATGTAAACACATATTTCCAAGGCACTCCTTTGTAATTATTGGGATAAACAGGTTTTAAATCATTCCAATGTATACTATAGGACAGTAACCAAAAATATCCTTTAAAACTGGAGAGATACAAAAAAAATGCATAAATAAATGTTAAGGTAAAATAAGATTTGAATGAACAACACAAATAAAATAAGTTACATTAATTTGTTATTGGCTATGGTAGGCTATTGGTTATGTTCACATACTTATTTGATTACATCCACTTGTCTAAGATGACAACAGAGACTTTCAAACCCAAACCCAGCTGTTGACTTGTGGATGCAAGCAGCTAATCACAGACTCAACCAGAGAGGAAAGTAGTAGGCCTACATCATCAGCTACCATGTCTGACAGAGAGGAAGACAGTGAGGAGAACAGTCAGGAGGGTAGTGATGACAGCTTGTAGGATTACTGGTCGTGCTAATGTTGTCTTGTGTTCACCTCTGCATGTGTGTTCTGTGTTCAGCTCTGCACGTGTGTTCAGTGCCGTGTGTCTGGCAAATAAAGTCAAGACCCCCTCAAAAGTTACGGTTTATTTCATTTTAAGGATGAGCACCAAGCAACATCTCCAAGTGCTCCTTTGAGAACCAGGGCAAAAAAGTTATGTGCACCCCTGCTTATATCATATTTCACAGTCTTCCCAAAATGTCAAAGCACTTCTTAAAAGGCTGTTCAATTGTAAGCAGTGATGAAAACAACAAAAGGTGGACATTGTAAAGAGAAACCTGTCCGAGAACTTGTTTATGAGTCCGTGAAAGGTCAAGTCATCACTGGCCAGGAGATAATGGAACACAGTCCTCCTCAGACCGTTAAAAAATGACTAAAATGTGAGAGGACTGGTCTGCAAACTGGGGCTGGGTAACAATCCCGGAAATGTAAACCCTCAATCTCTTCATTGCTCAGGGTTTGCAGCCTCTTGATAATCGCTGGGTAACGGTTTCTGCTTTTGGAGAAGTGGTTGTTTAGAGTGCAATCATTTTTTACGCAACGTAGCATTGCATGTTGTAGAAGTGAACAAGGGCGTATTGTGTGCGTATGATTTGGATAAATGTCCTTGAATACCTTATCTCTTCAAACTTGCTCAGTCAGAGTGACTTAAAGAGAGCAGGCAGTGCTTTTGTTCCTTTAACACATTTCTTTGTGCAAGTCATAAAAACAGAGTTCGGAGAGAAATGCCAAAGGGCAGCTGAGATCCTTTGTGTGTAAGTGTGTGTGTCAAATGTAAACTTGTGTGTGTTTGTGTGTGTTATTAGTACAGACTATACTGTGAGTTCTGCTTCTCCCTGGTGGCCATCGAGGGATTATCAAGATGTTGATACAATAAAAAACCTTTACAGTTTGAAACATTTCTATTAGTTTAAAGTGGACCTATCATGCTATTTTTAGGCAATAGCATAGGTCTCAGATATATAAAATAAAAATATATAAAAAACATGTCTATGAAGTGTTTTGCTCAAAATACCAAACAGATCACCCATTCAAGCCATGCCTCATATCCCTCTATTTCACTTCCTGTTTCAAAAGTGCTAGTTTGGGGTATAAAGCTTTAAAAATGGATGAAAACGCCATATCATGGATTATCAAGGATTAAAACAGTATGGAGCTCAAAGGCTTTCTCTCTTGCCGGTTATACCACAAGGTGAGGTCCTTTTTATTTCCTGCTTCTTCACACACATGCTCTCCAGTACAGGTTAGCTCTGAGTATTAGCGATGCTAATGTAAACACCGACCATATTACGTCCAAAACAGTCGGGCATTGTTTCTGATAGGGCCGTGGGTGTAAAGCCAGCCTACATTTCCGATATTACTTCATATCGGATGCAAATCTGGATCAGCTCCGTTGTAGCCCCGTTTTTAGAGATTTGGGTACGGAGGAAAAGAGAGAGGGTTTTATTTTCTGACGCTGCGTGAGTTCCCTGACACACCGGGGACACATATTTATGTATAAAAGACATAAAAAAGTGCATTTTGCATGATAGGTCCCCTTTAAGATGAAGGGTGTAAAAAAGTTAAAATAATTCCCCCTTGCTGTGTAGAAGCTAGTTATCATTAAAGGGGCACTCTGCTGGCTTTACACATGAAATTGTGTGATAACTAAATTCAAAATAAGTTGAAAATTCTAATAAAATAATAATAACTGAAAAATAAATGATAATCTTAAAATATATAAACAAGGAGTACATTAGAAACGTTGACTTCAGGGAGGTGGGAGTTTTGTAAAGGCTGAGAAGATTGACCCTCATGATGTCATAGTGATGTCATCAGGTGTTTACACTTGGAGACTCAACATTTTAACAGAAAGCAATACAAACTGAGCGAGATGCATATGGATGGGTATTTACTATACACTGTATATGGTATTTACCAAGCTTACATGAAAAGATGCTTTTGAGTTGCATTATGGGAAACGTAGTATCCAGAACTTTCAGAGGTGTGTCCCTCACTGGAGTCTAAAGTCAGGATATCTCGGCCTCTGCGCTCTTAATTTTGAACATTTGTAATACAAACACTTACATTTGACATGAGTAATATATATGTGGCAGATAAAGCTTTGACAGCCCTGCAGTAACAGGTTGTAATGTGAACATGTGACCAGAGGGGGGCAGTGTTGTTCTGACCTTCACATCCTCCCACAGCTCTCTGTCTTCAGTCAGCACCCGGGTGGTGTGGAGGGGGGTGGAGGGCACCACCATGGACTTCTGCAAACACACACACACACACACACACACACACACACACACACACACACACACACACACACACACACACACACACACACACACACACACACACCACACACACACACACACACACACACACACACACACACACACACACACAAGGATATGAGCAACAGATGCACAGACAAACAGGAAGCAGTACAGGAAGTATACAATGTCTATCGGTCCTTGCGAAACATATACTTACATTAATCCAGGGGTGGTTCATGAACTGAGTGATGGTCATTCGCTCGTTGGGGTCTGTCTTCAGAAGCTTCTGTATCAAATCTTTGGCTGGAAGGAAAGCAAAGGCAATGTAAAGATAATAACATATAAGAAGAAAAACACCTATGCAAGTCTGGTGTTCCGTGCTTCCCTGGGGGACAGACTGGCCTCCATTTTACGACAAAGAGAGAGAGACAAACTCCCTCTGGAGGCAACTTTGGGATTTGAGACGTTGCAGACCATTTACATGCACACAAACCTTAGCAACGCACTACAGGAAAGGGAAAACCCCAAAGTATAATATGGCCCCTTTAAGTTATTCTTAAGAAGGAAAACAAGAAACACAGTCAGTGAGTGTGGGAGAGGAACTACCCCCGCAGGTCATCAAACATAGTTTACATAAATCATAGTTAAAACATTTTCTGTTTAAAGAGACTGCACTTAGGTAACGATGCATGGCGTTTAAAGAGATGATGTAAGATGTAAACTGAGGCTAACAGCAAGGCAATGTTTCACCCACATGATGTTTCCTCCAGCTGTAACTGATCCAAACAGAGGTTTTCTACATTACAGGGTCATCCACACATTCAGTAGATCTGTATCACCGGCTTCACAATGAGACCAAGGTCCACACTGAGAGTCAGCAGTTCTCACGTCAGACAGTGATTTAATACACAGGGAAAGGGCCAGTTGTTAAAAGTTAGGAAAAGTTACCTATTGAAATATTTTGAGTTGAATTAAGATGATGCATCGGTTGTCACTGACATCTTTGTTGTTTGTGAGATGATAGCATAACATGTTGACCTAATAGCTATGGAATATTACACGTTTCATAAACATGTAGTTAAATATGTTATTATTCTATATATAGCAGGGTTTTTTTCCCAGGATTTTTTATGAAAATCTGCATTTTAAGCGTTATAAATAGGTGGGAAAACTACTTCAACTACAAAAGTGTCAGTGTTGAGGGACTGGTTTTAGTGTTTTTTAACGGGGAGTATCTCACCTTCCTGGGACACCTCGGCCCACTCTGGGTTGGGGAACTCGTACTGCCCCATCCTGATCCTCTTTTTCATCCCTGGAGAGATGGCCTGGCCTGTGTTGGAGTAAAATGGAGGGAAGCCACACAACCTACAGAGACAAAAGAGACCTTTCAAAAACATTCACATGCACTTATTTAAGTATCAACTTAACATATTGCATCATATAAAAAACATCACATCCACCCTCTCTTCCACCCAACCCACAGCCAGTACTCACAGGATGTACATGATGACGCCCACAGACCACATGTCACATGACTTGTCATATTTCTCCGGACCCAAAACCTCAGGAGCTTATCATGAATGACAACACACAGAAAAGGAAGCAAGTTATAAATGATAAAAGCTGCTAAGACACTATATTCAACCCGTTTATACTCCCAAATGATACTGTTTCAAGCCTTTTTTTAGAAAATAGGCGCATAAAGCTACTTACCCACATAGTAGGGCGTGTAACAGGGGGTCTGTAGGGGGTTGTGTAGCGTCGTCTCCTTAGCAAATCCAAAGTCTGTTAACTTGAGGATCCCCTTTTTATTTTTATTGGTGTACAGCAGGTTCTCTGGCTTGATAGGAGGAAGGAAAACAACAACATATGACACAATGGCCTTTAAACACCCTAAACGGATATTCAAGCTTTGATGTTTCCGCACCTTGATGTCTCTGTGTGCGATCTCAATGCTGTGAAGATATTCAATGGCCGTGCCGATGTCCCTCATAATCTCAGAAGCCTCTGGGAGAAGACAACACACACACACTCTCAAACCAGAAGCATCAACAGTATCATACAATGGATAAAACAGATCATTTAGGGAACAAACATTTCTCAAAACAGTTTCCTATTCTGTACTTCCCTGTGTCATGTTTTCCAAGACTTATATGTTAAAGCTTAAAGTTAGCGCTGAGCTTCAGTCTGCAATGTTCAAAACAACAGATAAAGCCAGAAATCTAGGTGTAGTCATGGACTCTGACCTGAGTTTCAACAGTCACATTAAAACTGTTACTAAATCAGCCTACTATCACCTAAAGAATATATCTAGGATTAAAAGACTAATGTCACAGCAGGATTTGGAAAAACTTGTCCATGCTTTTATCTTCAGTAGACTCGACTACTGCAATGGTGTCTTCACAGGTCTCACTAAACATCTATTAGGAAGCTGCAGCTGATTCAGAACGCTGCTGCTGGAGTCCTCACTAACACTAAGAAAGTGGATCACATCACTCCTGTTCTGAAGTCTTTACACTGGCTTCCTGTGTGTCAAAGAATAGATTTCAAAATACTGCTGCTAGTTTATAAAGCACTGAATGGTTTAGGCCCAAAATACATTTCTGACCTCCTGCTAAATTATGAACCATCCAGATCTCTCAGGTCTTCAGGGACTGGTCAGCTTTCTGTCCCCAGAGTCAGAACTAAACACGGAGAAGCTTTAAAATCCAGACTAAAAACTTTTCTTTTTGTCACTGCTTTTAATTGAACTATTCACATCTTAGACTGCACTGTAACTTTTATCCATGTATTTTTTCTTTTAATGTTTATTTTATTATCTTTTCTTTTTAATGACTGATTTTAAATGCCATTTTCTTAATGTCTTTCGTTTTTTGTAAAGCACTTTGAATTGCCTTGTGTTGAAAGGTGCTATATAAATAAACTTGCCTTGCCTATATCACTCTTTCTGGAAAATCATGATGGTTTTTCCTCTCTCACTTCCTGTGACACACAGTTAATCAGTCCTCACCTTTCTCAGTGAAGGCCTGGTCTCCTCTGGCCTGGATTCTGTTGAACAGCTCTCCTCCCTCCATACTGGACACACACGCACACACACAAAACATTTACAAAATGTACATATGACAATCTATAACATAATGTTTCCTGAAATTACATATAGAATACATTTACATCAGCGTTACCAATATATTATTTAACCACTTCGTACATACATATAAGAAATCCATATATGTTGAGTGTATCCCACATTTGAATCAGAAAGGAATCAGTGCTGGAGTTAAGGAATTAAAGGGGCCTTATTATACTCCTTTCCAGGATTGTATTTTGTGTCTCTACTGACACAATAAATCATTACTATAATAAGTTAGATAAAAACATGTGTGTACAGTTTTACAATGTGAGCCACTGAGTTGGATTTCAGTGGAAGTCTGACACTTTCACCTAAAGCTCTCAGTTCCTTTCAAAGACAAACGACGAAGGGACAGAGTTTCTAAAGAATATTGAGAGCAGAGGAAAACCGGATCAAAAGGAGGAAGAAGGGGAAAGTTACCAAAGTCTTCTTTCTGAAAAGAACCTACAGGGTTTACAGTATGTGAAATGAAACAGCGCTGGCATTGTTTAACAGTGATAGTACTAATATTTGTCTCTTTCTGGTTTATCAAGAAGATAATTAATTTGACAAAATACTATATACTCTAGCAGTCTAGCTGATGATTGATAAGGCCTATAATCTGATTCTTTATAAGTTCGGACAAATATAAATATACACATATATATATCCGTTTTAGAAGACTTGTTGATTAAAACATAACTCAAAGGAAACTCAGATCAAACGACCTTCAATGAAAACTCTCCCTCCTCCTCCTCCTCCTCCTCCTCCTCCTCCTCCTCCTCCTCCTCCTCCTCCTCCTCCTCCTCCTCCTCCTCAGAAAAAGTGTTTGTTTCCATCATGGTTGAATGAGAGTGAGTGAGTGTGAAGTAAGAGCGTACTTGTTGTGGTTCAGATGAACAGATAACTGAGAGAGAAATGTGTGTGTGTGTGTGTGTGTGTGTGTGTGTGTGTGTGTGTGTGTGTGACACTGCACTGCAATCCTCCTCTGACCCGGGCTCACACAGGAAGAGTCACACATAAACGCACACCCACACACAAGGTCACTACATACAGTACAACACAAACAGTGGCTCTGTAAATAAATGTGATGATGAGAACCAGTAATTCCCTTAAATAAAGGACAGTGTAATTTCTCGGCGGTCGGCCCCTGCTGAGTCTTCCTCTGAATAATTATGAGTTTGTTTCCATTCACAAATGGAAAGCAATAAAAGGAGCAAAGTTCAACAAGTTGTATGCTCGTCAAAGCTCACACACACACACACACACACACACACACACACACACACACACACACACACACACACACACACACGCACACTCACTCACTCACTCACACACACACACACACACACACACACACACACACACACACACACACACACACACACACACACACACACACACACACACACACACACACACACACACACATACACACACACACACACACACACTGGAATCACTCGGTTATTCTTACGGACAGGTTGTCAGCACCTCTGCGGAGCCGATGTCGTCACTTTGTCTCGCCTGAGTCTCAGGTTAAATGACCTTTAGCATTTCCTCAGTGGCACAACGTTTACTAGCTTGAAGCTGTATTTTGTGTGAAAACATACGGGCACGATAGATCCCATCATATACGTTCAGGATATTGCTTTAGTTCATGCGTCGGCAACCCGCGGCTCGATACAGTAAGCCCTCTGTCTTGAGTTTAGACATAAATAAGAAGGAAATTAAATAAAAGTATTTGTAGGACTATTTAAATGTTATTGCATGTTTGAAAATGTTTCGTATCTTGTATTTTGCGGTGATACTGTGACACATAAATAAAAAACAAAATGGTTTTAATTAGGTCAACTAACATGCGTCATATCCTGCTACGGTCCCGCACCAGCACCTTTTCTTGCAGGCGAATAACCTGACGCCTGGCTCGATGAGCGAACTCGGAGGAACACAGAGGGTTTCATTCTACGTGGTTAGGGTTATCTGCTTTCACAGCAAATGATGCTGGCTTACCGGTATGTTTGATATGTAGAGAGAAGTTGTCAAAGATGCTGCAGCCTTTACGTATCGAGGAAAAACACGGAAGAGGAAGACAGCTGACGATCTTCAGTCATAATTCAATCAGTAAACTAATTTCATTTAATTGTATTTTTTTTCCCTTGAAATGTGCAGAGGGCTCCCCAAGTGCTGTGTTGATTCATTTTAAAGTAGGCCTGTGTATTTATTTTTAATTCTCCCTATAGGAGTTCTTTGTTTCTTATTAGAGGTAAACAGTTTTATAATGTAATAAATAATAAATGCAAAAAAACTGTAGTTTTTGTCTATGATATAACAATAAATACAACTTTATAAGCTATCAAATATGTTTGGTGGCTCCAGACAAAACAAATAGTTGGAAAAGGGGGCAAAATGGCTCTTTTGGTCAAAAAGATTGCAAACCCCTGCTTTAGTTCACTTTAAAATGCCATTTATTTAGCTGAGAGACATACACATGTTGATAGTAATGAACAGCTTTAGCTTTGAATGTATATAATGATACCGGTTTGATTCAAACATCATGAAAACTGTGGTGAATTATGGAGATGGCAGTATCTCGTTGAAATAAATATTTGGCGTCTGTATTTATTTATGTAAAGTGGAAAACTGTGGAATCGGAGCAGAACTTCCCCTGTTTTTATCCACATTTGTTTTTGTAAATAAACCCACATCACCCTTATTAAGATCAAGTGACAAAGAGCTGTGCCTTATGGGAAATTGTAGTCACTGTAAGGTCTGTTGCCAGTTTTGAGCCTAATATCAAATAGCAGGAGTCCTCACTGTGCAATGCAGATCATTTAACTACTTAATGTCCACTTTAAAACATAAGAAACACAAGCTTCATGCCAATATGTTTTTAGGAACAGACATCAGAAGGACATTCCCAGTGTTTGAAAGGATCCACTTAAGTAAGGGTGTGTAATCGTGTGTGTTAATGTGACCCCTACCACTCCATGATGATGAGCAGGCACTTCTTCCCATGATGCATGTTCTCATACAGGCTGAGGATACGGACGATGTACGGCCCTCCGGACACCCTCCAGTGGAGCTCCACCTCTCGTCTGGCTTTGGGGCTGTCGTACAGGATCTGGGACAGAGAGATAATGAATACAATTGAAATTTTATTTTACAACATGACGGGACTGATGAGCTCAATACTTTGGTTTCTATTTCTAATTTAGTTTAGTTTAGTAGTTTTCCATCTTGGAGTGGAACCACATCGCGTTTATATCATCATGCTATCGGTAGTGTTATCCAAGTTCATGATCAATTTAAAGATATTTAAGTTTATTTATTTCCAAAAGTTAAGCTTTTGGTCTTACGTCGTAATAGAAACATATGACTTTATGCATCAACATCTAGTACAAAATGTAAGGAGGGAGCCATGCCTGCTTCATGTATGGAAGAGGACCAGTGCCTCAAGAAAGCAATCATATCATCCGGTGTGGTCTCTAACATTTATAAATTATTATCTAGGGCTGCCCCGAATACCTATTCTCCTGTCCAACTGTCCTGGGAGCATGCCTTGAATATCTCTCTGTCTGCTTTGCAATGGAACTCCATTTGGAGGTCAGCTATGTTCTCTTCTAAATGTGTAAGATTCAGGATCATACAGTTCAAAATTCTCAATAGAGCATACATCACCCCTGTCACAAAATCCAAGATGGACAATAAACACAGAGACTTATGCTGGCATGAATGTGGCAAGCGAGGTACATTGTTGCACCTACTCTGGGAATGCCCAGCGGTAAAAAAACTTTGATCAGAAGTAATATCCTTAATGTCTGAATCTTTAAAAGTTAATTTCCCTACATGTCCCATTGCATGTCTATTGGGTCTCAAGCCAGATGGCAATGTTGCAAGGACTGCCGATCGGCTCTGGACATTGGGCTGTTTAGCCACAAAAAGACTCATGCTACTAAACTGGAAGGAACGCAAACCAGCCTGCTTTACTAGGGACTCATGGCTGAGGGAGTATCTGGACCTACTGAATATGGAGCGTGCAGCTTCTCTGCTGGGGGATTTTGAGGGGAGACAGGAGGATTACGGTTCACTGTCCGCAGCTCTCCTATCTGACCCTGTCAATATGGCATCTCCTGTGTAATGTATAATGTGTATGTCACAATCAGCTGTCTTAGGAAGTCATCCTTGCATCCCCCCCGTTACTTTTTTAGTTGTATGTATGTAGTTGTTTGTTGTTACATGTTTTGTTGTATGTTCTGTTATCTGGAGCAATGTCTGTTTATTTTATAACTAGAAAAAAAAAAAAAAAAAAAAAAAAAAATTGTTATATCAACAGAAAATGTATTATAATTGATTAATTGAAGCCGAAATTCCAAACATTGCCTGGTTTCAGATTGTCAGTCGTGAGGATTCACGGCATCTATTTGTTTATTAACCCTCCTATTGTCTTCGTTCTCCAATATTCCTCTTCTCAGAGTTCTATACTAATGTGGTCTTGTTTTAGTCGGTGAAAAGTATCAATACCGTTGATCCAGTAAGATCAATAAAGAAGCTTATAATACTTAAATCATTATTTGCAATTGACTCCTGAGTGATCCATCACATGACAGGCGAGGACAAACCTATAGACCTTCAGGCCACCTGGACACGATGTGACAGGATGTGTGTTTGAAAAAGCAGATGCACACACACACACGCGCACACACACACACACACACACACACACACACACACACACACCACACACACACACACACACACACACACACACACACACACACACACACACACACACAGCAGGTGGCGGATCTTGACATAGCACACGTCTTCAGTCATGGAGTATTTTTGGATGTGACAGAGATGGAGTGATCTCCTGCTGCTCAACAGGGCTGGGCCGGGAGTACATAACACACAGAGGGACTGAGTCACTGACATATCACACACACACACACACACACACACACACACACACAGCACACACACACACACACACACACCACACACACACACACACACACACACACACACACCACACACACACACACACACACACACACACACACACACACACACACACACACACACACACACACACACACACACACACACACACACACACACAACTTCAGGGGACATTACATTGACTTACATGCATTTCCTGGAGACTTATCCTAACCTTAACATTACATTTACATTACATTGCATTTAGCTGACGCTTTTATCCAAAGCGACTTAGAATAAGTGCATTCGACCAAGAAGATACAAACTTGAAGAAAACAGAATCATATAAGTACATCAGGTTTCATAGAGCCAAAACATTTCAAGTGCTACTCAACTGGCTTTATTTAATCATAACCAACACACGCCTAACCCTAACCCTAAACCTAACCAAGTCTTCACCCTAAAATTAATGATTCCTCTCATGGGGACCTCCATTTTGTCCCCATAAGGGAGGCGAGTCCCCACACGTGACTGTGTAAACAAATTTAGGTCCCCACAAGTATATTAATGCTAGGACACACACACACACACACACACACACACACACACACACACACACACACACACACACACACACACACACACACACACACACACACACACACACACACACACACACACACACACACACACACACACACACACACACACACACACACACACACACACACACACACACACACACACACACACACACACACACACACACACACACACACACACACACACACACACACACACACGATTGCCTAACTGGTGATTGTTTTCTCATATTTCTTAAAGATTATTATACCATTTTAATCCAATAGGGTGTAAAATAAATGACATTCAGCTCAGACTGTGAGTGTTTTCGCTCGCCAACGCCAAAGAGGAAGTGAGGGCCGAGTGTTTCGGAGCAGCCGGGTTTTGAAAGTAGAAGTTGAGGGTTTCCGGTGACACTAGTACCATTATGTGTGAAGCAAAGCCCTGGGCAGGTTTGTTTCTGCAGTGTCATTTATATGGCTTTATGACCTTAATCAGAGCATGCGGCTTGACGGCTGATTTTCTTGATTTCCTGCAGTTAACCAGAATTGGCCACAATAAAAGAGGACTGTGATGGATTAAACACACATATAAAACAATATGGGAGCTATATAGATGATGAGAAGAATGAGATAATTAATGGACTATTTTTTATGTTAGGCAATATCACAATGACTTAAACACATCCAGCTATAAACCAATCAACCACATCCTCACACTCCATAACCAATCCGATCTCTTTCCATAACACACACTTATGGCGCGTTTCCACTGCAGGCCTCGCTCGGCTTGGTTAGGCCTTATTAGGCCCGGCTCACTTTAATGCTGCGCTTCCATTACAGTTTAGGAACTGGGGTAGTTACTATAGTAACGCAGTGTAGGCGGAGCCGTGACGTCATCTTCAATGAGCGCCCCAAAAAACAACACAGCCGTTAGCTCTTAGCACTCAGAGCTCACAGCTCCTCATATCTGTTCAGAAACTAGACAAAAGTTAAACAAGTACAAACCACAGACTGCCTGTGTCATGGCGAATACAGTCGCTGGTTTATTTATGTCTGTATAGGCCGTTGTTGTGAGTGTGGACGGTCGGAGCATATATAACGTTAGCTTAGCCAAGCTACATTTAGAAAACACGCATTTTAAAAGGGTTTTTCGCCTGCCGTCTGTCTGCAGACTTGTCAAAGCATTAATTCATGGTTTTTACTAACCGGTATTAGTATGTTGTTACTTCGGCATCAGTTTGAAACGTGTATTACAATTAAATCACGGTCAAATATGTTCATCTTGTTGTAGTTGTAGCCCCCTTGCCAGCGATTCTCTCTCTAGTTTAGCATACTCAGCCCGACTCAGCCTGGTTGTTCCTGGCCCTAGAACCACGATTTAGTCGGGCCAGAAAAAAGGTGAAAAAGTAGCCCCGGGCCAAAACTAGGCCAAGTGGAAACGCAACCAAAAACGGGCCCCGCACGGCTCGGCACGCTTAAAGCGAGCTACCCGCTGCAGTGGAAACGCGCTATTAGACCCACACGTTGACCTGATAAATCCAGCTGAGTTAAATAGCAAACTACCTTTCAACTGAAACCACACACACACACACACACACACACACACACACACACACACACACACACACACACACACACACACACACACACACACACACACACACACACACACACACACACACACACACACACACACACACACACACACACACACACTCATATGGCTCCACCATGTTGACAGTCTATTAAATATTACTCTCTCAGAGCGCCACACTGTATGTCTTGATAAAAAGGTGGATTATCTTTACAACGTCTACCAATAAAGCGCTGCTCATAACGTCTACAGCAAAGTGGTCTAGGAAGTGTTATACAGTTCATCAATGAGAGTTGATATACTTTTCCTCATGATGGCTGTTTACACAAATCCATCATAGCTGCTTTTATAACATGTAGACCAATTTAAGATTTAAAACTGAGATTAGTTTAGCTCACTGCTATTTCAAATGCAAGTCTATTTGTAACTCTAAGTATATTTTAAATTATGTGGTCTACTTAGTACTGATGTCTTCTTGTAATAGCAACATTTAGTAGTTACAATTGTGATGTTGTTGAAAGGTCATGAACTATAACGAAAAGCAGTTTATAAAACTCAAATCCACAAAAAGCATAATAGGGCCCCTTTAAACTGACGTAAAGTCACAGAGAGGGATCACCACTTATTACACTTCATCCTGAGAACATGAATATCAAACATGTTGCTGCTTGGTCAGGGTTTTATAATGACTTTGATTCATTCTCCGGGTATCTTGTATCAGGGTATATGCAGGAATCTTGAAGTCAAATGTAATTCCTTTTAAGACCTTTTTTAAGACCCTTTCCATACATTTTAAGACCTCATCGCCACTTGGAGTTTCTAACCGGTTACCTTGGCGACACACTTTACCTCACATTGACTATATACAGTATTGATTGTCCTTCCTCCTTATCTTCCAACCATTTGGACGCAGACTTGCATTTCCCCATAACGACGTTGTTTAACAACCGGCGTAAACGGACCTTCGCGCGCTATCAAGCAGTGAGCGTGAGATGTCCTGTTCAG